ACGTGGAAATCATGTCGCGCCTCTGTTTCATTTCCCGCCGGGGATGCGCGCTCTGAATGACCGTTGTCAGGTCGCCGGCAATCGACTAAAATTTTTCTGTGTGAGTTCTCACGAGTCTTGGCACCTCGCGGAGGTGGGTAACCTGGCAGGTTGCAGCCTGGGGTTCTGAGGTACCCCAGCGTGGCCGTTGCGGCAGCGACTGGGGGAACCCGCGCACCCGCGGTGAGGGAGGAGGCAAGTGCGCGGCCGTTGGGGGGGTGGCGGACGGGGGAAGCGGAGGAGGGATTTTGAAAGAGGGTCGGTGGTCGAGGTGGTAGTGGCGGAGGTTGTTGGAGGTGGAGGAGGCACAGTCTCGTGGAGGAAAAGGTGGCAAGGGGTAGAGAGCGAGAGCTGAGGTGAGGAGAAGGAGGAGGTGGTGGGCCCTGGGGGTGGGTTGCCTAGCTACCGGCGAGACCCGGCCAAGATACTCCGAGATCTCTCTCTACTGCTTCAGGTCGGGCTCGCATATTTCTCCGGCGCGTTTGACCAGGTTCTTCGAAGTCGGAAGATCGAACACGGAGAAATGGCTAACCGACAAACCTGACGATGTCAGGACGTGATTCACGTAGGAACTCGACGAGGAGCAAGTGCAGACCTACATCATCATTCCGAATTAATAATACCTACTGCATATAAAGATTAGCATGAAATACTAAAATATATTTCCTACTTAAAAAACACAAGAAGTATTTCTTGTACTTTTCTTCTCAAAAAGCAATGTTAAAGATTCATTAATGTTTCTACTTTGTAAGTAGTAGATATGCTTTTTCAAATACCTCCATCCTGGATCACGAATATCTTTTCATAAAAATGTTTCCTTTCTAGCACATTATTCTACGTGCAAATAACGAGAAATAAAAATCAAGTTCATTATTCGCAAAGAAGAGAATAGCTGCAAGTTTTACGCCTTTTGATCACTTAAATAAATCAATGAAATGATTAAAACTTATTACAACATAACATTCCACAAATAAATTCTCGCCACAAACTACCATGAATTAAACTGCATAAACTTGTAATCAATTTCTGCGAAACTCAAGTTTAAATTTAAGAAAAAAACAAAGAGTACTAAGTAGACATTATAATATAATTAAAATAAATTCTTCTTATATATCAATCTTTTTTCCTAAGGAGGTACCTGTGCCGCCCTCGTACGAGAAAGATGGTAAAGACATTTAAGAAGACTCACCCTCCTCTTTCTCGCACCCTTCTTTAGCTCTAAGAAAACGTCACCCTCGTGATAAGGCAGCTTGCGAAAAGATTGGAAAGTCGGTAAAAGGTATATAAAAAACGTAAAAAGTTAGTTTTCACAGGCAGAATATAGTTCATCAACAAATTTTTTAAATTTAATATCTCTCAGTCGCCAAGCTTTTAATAATTTTTTAAAGAAAAGTAAGAAATATTTTTTCTCGAAAACTCTACTTTTTTCATTTAGAAAAATAACTGGCAATCAAAAAAGATAGTGCACTTCAAAGAATCGACTCTTTTAACTCAATATGTATTCGCTATACTGAATCGACGTAAGATTAAAGAGTGAATAACTATTGAGCCTGGAGCGGAACGAGTCGGTAAGAAAGAAAGAATAAGGATATTTTCTTAAAGAAGTTGCACCGCCGGCAAGCGTCTTTTAAGAAATCGCCAGTACGCTTAGTCATCACTAAGAAAGATGGCGCCTTGTCTAAAGAATTTTAATAATATCGCATTTTTTACTTATGTATCTCTTATTCAAATTATCCTCTTTCGTCCTTAGAATGTCTAAGAAAATAATATAAATGTCATTTCCGGCTGCGACTTATATTGCTACAAATAACGTCATCCGGACTGCTTAAATATTTTGTAATGTTAATAAATTCCAGCGATTTTATCTCACAATCCGAATAAAGCGCGAGAAATCCCAGAATCTACGTACGAGCGAAGCTTTTTCACCCTCTTTTTCCGTTCCTTTTAGCATGTCGTCGTGCCCGCCGCGCCACACGAAGAACAAAGGACGGTTTCACGGTCGGTTAATTTAATCTAAGCAAACATCATATAGATGGTACGGGAATGTGTTTCACGGGGTGTCAGAGAGATCGGGGAAGGCGGAATACTCGGGTGCTGCGAGTGTGCGGGGACGGGAATCCGCGGGCCGTGGATCTAGATACATACGTAAGTACAAGAGTATTCAAGACGGTGCTGCGGAACGATGTTTAGCATGTAGATGAAGATCTTGGTAATCAAGGGCTGGCGGCCCCGCGGGCGTACTTCGTCAAGTCTCTCTCTTATTTCCCAGCATCGCCATGCAATGCACGAATCGGCATGGAATTTAATACGACGCCGCCTAACAGTTTCACGCAAATTTCATGGAATATAAGAATCATGCTTAAATAAGTTAAAATTTTGAAAAAATTCCCACAAACATTCCGGCAATTTTTATAATAATCGATCTCATAATAATAAAACTAAAAAATCCTGATTAACTTATTTTAACAAGCGTGATAAAAAGAAAATGAACGACAAAGAGCAGTCTTTGATCGATAAATTATTATTTAGCTGAACGGCTAATAAAAAAAGATAAAAAAGCAAACAAACGCGGTTTGTCACGACGTTCGTACGCGGTCTCTCTTTCCCGACGATATCTCAAACCGGAGCGGTATCTCGTTCGAAATGATCGGGTCTCGTCGTCCGAAAATTCACCCCGTAATCGACGGACAAAAAGTAATTTCCTATCGAGCGCGACAAAGGGTGATTTTGCATGGGGAGTCGTGTCGGCGATAGCCACGGGGGTGGCAGTGACCGGTGCGTGTAACGACCATTCCTCCCTGCCGCCCCGTCACCGCGATTCCCTCGCTGCCACCTCCAAAACCACCCCCGCGCAGCCAACGCCGACCGGAGCGAACGTTCACGGGGAACGCCACGTGCGCTCTATGCGTAGAAAAGATGTGGGAGGTATGCGTACGCGTGTGTACAACGCATTCGATCCGACTGGTATGTGGGGCTCTGGGGCATTTTTGTTCGTGTTTTTTTTTTCTATCTCCCGTTATTTATCCTCCGATTGGAAATTAGCAGAATAAATTTCCGCCACAGCGATCGCCTTTAATAATGATTGAGCAATACACTGACCAAATAACTAAATCAATCATATGATAAAAGTACATAATGAGTCATGTGATTTTTTAGAAAAAAAATAATGTATCATAAATCGTGAAATTCTATTCGCTTTATTTTATATTGATACTGCGCAAAAAAGTAAAATTAAATATTACAATCGATCAATTGCTTTCGAGTTATATGGCGCAAAGAAATTTCTCACAAACTGCAGCGCACTGCGCAAAATTTATAGCATGTTGAATCATGATTTGGTTACGGTTCTTCTAGGCTTAATATTTCTTTACCGAGAGAGCACCGCGTCATAAATCGCATTGCAGTAAATAATTATTGTTCTTCATTAGGCAGGAAGTGTGCAAGAAGAGTTGCACGCGCGTTGCGACAAAAGTTCTCGATATGCGAAATCTGCCCGACCCGTTTCTCTTTGTTTCGAGAAACAGTATATCGCGCTGTGAAGGCGAGGACGCCGGCAAAGTAGAGAGTAAAAAAAGAACCACGAAAGAATCGCCGCGAAAAAGAATGGGCGCCAAAGCAACGCCGGTGGGATCGTGGATTTAGCGCGGAATCGGTAACGCACGGCGCGGCTGCGGGACGATAAATCGGTATGGCCAACTGCTCGAGCCAACGAGCCGTGTCCAGTTTGCTGCCCTCGGTAGAGAGCGACGCGAGTTCTCGCGGACGAGGGACGGCGCGGGGTAACGAAGAGCCGCCACGGGGAGCGGAAGAGCAAGGGGGACTATCCCGACATTCACCGCACGCTATTCTTCATACTCCATTATCCGTGCTCTACTCCACTCTACTCCATTATGCCGGCACCGCGTATAAACGACGAGTCGTACCCGGCCCCGATCCTCCCCTCGACGCGAACCACCGTATGTCCATCAGGTCGCTCGTCGTCCTCCACTTCGCTGTGCGCAACAGCGATAAACACTAGCCCGAGCGCGGTAGCTCGGTTATCGAATGAGAAAAGTACGCCGCTTTATGCGGACCGCTTCATAATCCGCATCAAACTTCGCCAGAGCGTGTCCTTTGACCAATTTCAAGTCAACTTTTCGTTCGCGAGAATACAACACCAGACATAATTATCATTGTCGTCTGACAACCATTATTGAGAGATCTTGACGAGATAAAGTAATCCGTCGAGAATTATAATTGCGTCCTCGCAATAAATAGCGAGTAATAATTTGTTCCATTTTTCTTTTTGCGGAATATATAACGTTACATTATTATTATATATCTTAGTAACTGCATTAATAAAACTGTATTATATGATTAAAATTGGCCATTGAGAAATTTGCGCCATGCCTTTAAAAATACGTCGCTATAATAATAACGAGTCATGTAATTTACGGTGATAAACTTAACTCGGTGTACTAAATATGAAACGCGCCTTCATCATATACGTACATACGACTTGATTCGAGCTACGAGGCAGACGCGAATTCCCCTCTCGAGACCAGGTTTAATTAAATCTTTTGCAAATTTGCATATACGCACTTCCGTCAGTGAGAATCCTTTAGAACCCTGGGCGTTACCGAGACCCCTGTAGAGATTCGTTTCCCCACTTACCTGTGTTATGTAGATCTGCCGCTAGTCCTCCGAGATGACGATAATAATCTGAGTGAAGACGACTCCGAGAGCAAGAATATCGTCCAAAAAATAAGGCGCTAAAAAGAAAAAGAAAAATTGCAATGTAGATATCGCATGAGAAAAATAAGAAACTCAAGAAAGTAATAACGTATAATCGATAGAAAAAAAGACGTATCGTTAAGATGACGCGGAATTTCAGGATCGAGGACAGTGGACGCAACGTGGGGGGGGATTGAAGGCAAAAAGCATGAATCATATTTTGAAATACACTTTTACTTCGACTCGGTCAAAAACTACGATAACAATAGATTGGTAGATATGTATATCGGAAATTATTTTCGGAAACGCAGAGTGCTCGTCGCCGGCTGACAAAAAACGGATAAGCTTCTAGCCGGCGCGGCGCGGTGCTTCTCGCAAAATCATTTCGCGAGCTGTTTCTCGAGTTTTCGTTTCTTTGGCGGAAATTTCGATGTAAGATCTTCGATGCCGGGGTACGATCGCACGTTCGTTCATTCGTACGTTGAATACTTTTCACGCGTCCATGCGCTCCCCGCGGTGACATTTTCACGTGACGGGAAAGCTTCTCGCCTCACGCCAATCGTATCCCATTCGATTTTATCGTCGACTTGACCGGAACGTGACCGCACGCGACGACCTATCGCGAATCAGTCGATTTTTCGAGATAACTGAGAGTTGCTGCGAATATCCGAAAGCGCGGGGCCGGATTTCTTCAGTCCAAAAAGTGCTTTTCGGGGGGAAAACGCGGGTCGAAGGGAAACTTAACGCCCAACGTGGAAGATATATATATTTACAGAGAAAGAAAGCTGATTCGGCAGCCTCGACAATATTGCACGATCCCGCAGCGGTCGGTCGCAATTATACTATGAAAACGTAATCGATGAAATAAATTAGTGCGTCGCGTCGCTTGAAACGACGGCGGATAATAACTCGATGAAACGACAATGTCCTAGCTATGTACACATATATACATCCCGTGGATATCATTATTATCGTCGTCGTCATCACCACTTTCGCACCCGCGCTCGCTCTCTCTTGTACGCACTATAATAGCAATCCGTTCTCACTTAATTACAAATCCTTCGCCGCTCATTCACTCCCCTAAGATTCGTTGGCATGAGACACAACCGGTAAAAGAATTTTTCGAAGCTTTCCGGAAGAACGTCTTAACGGCGAACGCGCGACTCGCCTCGAGTTCTTTCCGGATTGAGTTTTAATGCCCACTAGTGCTAGTTCGCCGTCGAGAATCGTCCTCGACGTCCTTGGATAGTCCGCAAACAATCACCACGTTCACACCACGATCGTCGACGATCGTCCGCCGCAGCAGTCGACAGCCCTGAAGAGCGAGGACCGTCACTTTCCTCTCGTCTTCCAGGAATTCTGCAGTCTCTTGGCCAAATCGTTGGATAAGTAATCGCTCACATCCACCTCTCAGTACGGTCTCCAGACGTTGTTATCTGGTCTGACCTCCTCTTGCCTCACGCTGCAGCTGTCCGCGACAGCCCTCTGTTCGGCGCTCTCGGAATTCTGAAACTGATTTCCGTAGAGCTGCGAATAGAGGATGCTGGGCAGCACGCCGGGCGTTGGAAAGTAGTTGCCGTAATTTTGCCCGAAAGCCTGCTCCTCGTGCACCGGGCTCTCGGTCGTACTGGAGTCAGTGGACAGCGATCTGGGCGATACGTAATCCTGGTACCTCTGGCTGGTAGAGCTGCCGGACATGAGGCTGCTCAGCGGGTCTAAAGGATCGGACTGGCCCGGTGTCGTGGTGTCCGGTACGACTGCGACATTCGAGGAAGGGAAAGCTACGTTCAGTTCGCTAGAGACAAAACAAGTCGACCGATCTTGGCCCTCGAGAGCTGAGACTCTACCGAACGATTAGATTTTTTTCAATCATGAAACATTGCCGCACGAGTCAAAAATTTATCGATAATTTATCATTATAATTCAATAAGTGTAGTAATAAAATAAACATAATTTTTTTTATAAAATACACTGTAATAATAATAAAAAACACGTAAACGTGAATTTTAATAACAAGAATACCAGCTGCGAAAAATGGAAATCATAAAAATACTGCAGATTGACGATTAAGTTAGTCAGTGATGCCTCATGATTGTTCGTCTGTCAAGAGCACATCGAAGTTCAAAGATAATCGTGCAGCAAGCTAAACTTACGAGAGGAGACTGCGGAAAAGGCGTCTTGCTGCGGCGTAGTGCCAGTATTGCTGGTACCGGATGTGACGGTGGAACCTGCCGTCGAGTCCGGTGCCGTCGGCGTGTTCATGGATGCCGTACCAGCGAAAGACGCCAACGTGGACGACGGCGGTGGTGGCGGAGGGGGCGGCGGCGGGGTGGAAACGACGCCTGTGCGGCGCACGACGACAGAGGACCCGGAAGGTAGCCGGCGTAGCCGGCCGTACTGCCGTACCCCCAAGAATTGCTCGCCGCCAGGCCGAACTGAGACATATCTAGAGAAACCTTCTATTGCACGCGTTTCCACGAACGCGAGAGACAAAGAAAATCAAGCATCGTGCAGAGAGAAAGCGAGAAATGTCTTTGCAAAAATAATATAAGTCAGAATTAACGTCATCGATACGAGCTGCAAACAAAGTACGAAAAAGCAGCGAGAAAGCAATCAGCAAGCGGAAAGACAGGCGGCACAGAGAAAGCAGCACGCATAAGAAACGAGCATTAATATAAAAACATCGATAACAATCGCCGACGGTTCCGGCGGTGTCGCGTCGGCGGAAAAGATAAATAATAATCGTGACAATCGGATAAAACAACAGAAGGATGAAAAGGCACGGGGGAAACTTTTGCCGGATTATATGCCAATTCGGATCACTTGGCGAAATGCATCGGCGGCGGTCCTGCGCGCCCCTTGGTAGGATGTATTTTTGCGGGGTATAGGCAGCATCCCCGATAGATTTTCCAATGAGTCACTGGGGGTTGAATGCGGAAAGGACGAGCACGAGCGTCCGCGAGAGGGACACGGGCAGACACGGCGGGGCGCGGGGGGAGACGGAGGGGCACATCGAGATCAAAGGGTTGGTCATCCCCCCGCGTAGCTGGGGGACCGCCAACTCAAATAACCGAGCTCGCCTCGGCGAGCGCCACCGGACCGTCGTCACGAGAGCTAACCCTAAATACTGCTGCCCGCCCGCTGCTTTCACGTCCTTCGGCATCGCCGGATTCCTTGCGGTCCGAAGAGAAGCCTCCCTTTTTACGGAAAATCGCCAAAAGTTGCGCACGGGTCTGCCCGAAATATTCGGGGATCGCTGCGGGATTCGAATGCCGGATTGAATCCTCGCCTCGAGCCCATTTTACCTTTCACTATAAAAAGCCACGCAATTGTTTAGCCGTGTTCTTTGGGAGAAATCTCTTATTTTATAGTTACATTGACCATATTAAAAAAAAAAGAGGTAATATTGAATTGCCATATAAAATATAGTACGGTCTGAACTTTTACAGTTTTATTGGAGAAAAGTGACTGCACACGCAAGTGTCTCTCGAAATCGAATCTGCCAAGCGCATAGTGTGAGAATAATACGGCCGCGTACGCGTATTATCGGACGACCGGATGCCCGATGAGGGAAAAAAGTTAATAAAGGAAATATTCGGCGTGCTTCGTATTTTATCGGGAAATTTAGCTAGCAGCGGAGCAGTCAGCCCTCACGTCTGAGGTAACTCATTAAAACGGCTGATCTCGAATTATTGTTTAAGCTTTTTTTTCTCGTCTCTTCTTGCGCGCTACCAGAACCGTTTATCGATGTACGCTGGCCGAGAGAAGTATTAAAAATTTTATGGCGCAGAGAGAGAGATATCGTTCGCGCGCGGGTTCGTCGGTCAGATTTAATCGCGCCGATCAACTGCACGATATTAATCAATGGTGGGAAGCTTCCTTTTTTTTCTCTTTTTTTTTTTGAATAATCAACGAGCAACATTCTCTCGGCGTCACTTTGACGTCGCGCGCTTTACGCGCAAACTCGCGAATCTACGTTATAAACGCGAAGGGAAGGTGAAGCTGCGCCCCCAAAACAGGGAGCCAACCGACTGGGACGCGCTTCCGTGGCAACCCCTTTAATATAATATTTAATCTAGCTTTGAACAGGCTTGCGGTTTCCGCCTCTGAAGCCGAGAAGCTAGCTGCCGAGCCTACCCAAAAGCCATGCTTCTGTACTCAGACTGGTAGCAGTCTGGTTAGAAATATTCCCGAACTCGGCGAAAGCTCTACTTGCTCGATGACAAAAATTGTATAAATTTTATAATGTCGGTTAACAAAAAATATTATAAAATAAAAAAGAATATTTTTTTGCAAAAGTATCACGATTTTACATATTTTAACTTTTTTTTCAACATATTTTTTGCAAATCTATATAATATAAAATGTTTCAAAAATTGTGCGTTTTAAAAGATCTCTAGCAACTACGTAGCGGCTACACAAGGAAAAACAGACACACACACATGCGAGTTATCGATAAAATATTCAAAGCAAAGCCGTGCGATTGGAGGCAAAGATTGCAATCATGCCTGGGACTCGGTCGATTACTTACTCTGACAATTGCCAGGCATCGCGTGTCTGAAGGAAGACAACGGATCCCTCGGCTGGAGCGGATTCGGTAACGGTTGCAACGGATTTGGCAGAGGTTGCAGCGGATCCACCAGAGGCGAGGCGAAGAACGGACCGCCTCGTTGCGAAGCGAACGCGAAGGCATGAAATTGTTGCTGCTGCCCTAAAAGAGACAGCACTGCGATCAACCGTGCGCCTGTCCACTGGACTTCCGGTGCACGTATTAATCTTCTCTTTCTCTTCTGCGCGTCATTTTCCTCCGTTGCGCGCAGAAGGCATTAGCGGGATCAGGCATGACATTGCGATAACATGTCGGCTGTATAATTTTGTCGGATGTCACAGACACGCGGAAATGATATATACGCTTTTTTTTTTCCCCCCCGATAATTGGAGTAAGGTGCGTCTTTCATCTATCGAAACGACAAACGGAACGATACAGTTAAACGTCCCCGCCGTCCCTTCTCTGAAGCCGGGGAACGAACGAGGGACACACGAGAGAGGCATCGATACATTTTATTTCCCTGCGACGGTGTCGCCAACCCAATTAAAGACGTCCCAACAGGCGGACGTCCTATCCGCCCGTCCCCGGCTGGAGGTCGCCGCACAGGACAGCCGTGTGTCGTACGTGCAGGTTCGCTCCCTTTCCCCCAAAGGCAACGATCCAACGTGGAAGGTACCGGAGGCTAGAGAGACCGACACGAAGGGTCGCAGGACGGAAGGGAGGTGGCGGACTCCCGCCGTCCTGATAATCCAATCGAAGCCCTAATTCTAACTCGGCAACCCGAAATTCCCGCCGGTTTGCTGAATAGGGTACGCTCGATCCGAGGACACAATGGGGGCGCGACGGCGGAATACCGACGGGTACCGAGACTAACGAGATCCTGTTAAACGACCGGCGATTCGTGCACGCCGCAGGACCCGGGAGAAAATTCTATGGATCACACCGGTTCCTTAGAACAAGACGTTCCTTACTCGCTTTTAAGGGCCAAATCATTCGCCGTGACGTGAGTTTACGCGAATTCGATTTCCCAAGTTTACCTCGGGACGAGAGAAGGGAAGACACCGGCGCGATCGAAAGACTCCAAACGGGGATTTGTTGCGAGATACCGGTAGTCTTCCACCGCCGGCGGCTTGATAGATTTAATAAATTATGCCGTTCGACCCACGAATTTATCACGCCGCCCTAACCCTTTGAATTCGCCGCGTCGTTCTTCGCAGTATTTCATTAGGCGTCGAGCACTCGTGCGACCCTTCGGATAGACGCGCGCGCGCGCGCGCGGTCGCTCGCTCTTCCAAACGATCGCAATTACACGTTACTTTCTTCATTTAAACGAGCTGGCAAATAATCAATGGTCAATCACATAAATATCCCGATCCCAACAACCGCAACTTTTCTAACGTATTTCGAGACGCTTTTACCATTACAAATTCTTCCGCTTATTCTGTTTTATTGCCGCGGACGACTCTCGACGACACTATCTGATTTATTCTTTCGCTGAGTAGCAGACGATTGGCGATTGGACGAAGTTGTAAGTCCTCGGCAAGTCGCGGCTATCGATTTCATTGGACACCCTCTTTGCGCGCCGTGACTGCCAGGGAATTTCTCGAGAGTTAGCAGCTGGCAACGACAGATCCTCATTTCGTCCCGCCGCCGAACCCCGCGCCCTCGCTGCTCAATCCGCGTCCCGAAATCGAGTCGTCTCGACACGAGCTGGAGCGCGACACCCACTTTCGACCTTTCCCGTCGCCGTCGCCGAGACTCGTTTCGTTCGTCCAAGATGCGCACCGCGATCCCGGTTCCGGACGGACGAGTCCTCGCGAGGAGCATCGAAACCCGGGCTAAACCTCCCTCAATCAATTTCCTTGGCCCTGCAACCTTTCCGCGGCAGCGGCGGCCACCTTCGGCTACTAGACGAGGGTAGAATGTGTAATGAATTGCTTGTTTAATTAATTACAACCCCTCGGAGGTATTCGCTCCGCGTGTTGTCTAAGATAAGGTTCATTCGTTCGTTCTCGCGTTCGATTGTCGAATGCACGAGTGTGCACAATTTATAGCCTTTCTTTAAAAGTATTTTTGCTCAAATATAAAACTGCGCGATTATTTTAATTACATAAAATCTTGAAAATTTCTAATCAAAGCATATATCATTTAAAAGATCAAATATTTAATATATTTTTCTGCACTTTTCGAGAATTTCATTACACATTTTGTAATAATTGTATCAAAATAAATGTGTTATTCGCGAGAACTTAATAACATAATAACTATAAAATCCTCATAGTTTGTTAAAATAAGACGTGTGGATCGCGGCTTTTGAAAAGACCACCCAGGAAAACGAAAACCTTTCATCTCGCGCCGCCACCCTTGAAATTGTCGCGCCATTACCCTGATTCAGTAAATGGTTTGTTTTCATAGAAGATTCAAAGCGCCGACACGACGAACGCTTATTTCTATCCTCTTGCTTTACCTTAACGATCTCTAAAATTTCATATCTGGTGTTCGCTTTTTATCCGAGTAACACTCCGCAAAACGTGTTCTCAGGCCGGGGCGATTTTAATTACTTCGAATTAAAGATAATTCATTAAAAATTTATATAATATTCGCAATTTTTTAATTTTGTACAAAATATAATCCTTTAAATGAATGAGATAACGAATAGCCAGTAGTATTAATATCGCAAGAGAAATTACTTCTCTGAAGCGTGACGTAGTGTTTTGCTTGGATGCGCGTCTCCGAGCGGTACACCGAAATTTCGCGTTTTCATATTTTGGATTTATGACGGAAGTTTCGTGGGTGGTCCGCAGATGCGGCCAAGCCGGCGGATGTGGTCGCAATTTCCCAAGGTACCAAACTTATGCCGTGCTACCCAGAGACCGCCTCGATATATTAAAGCTATCGGATATTTTTGGTACGACTTCAAGGACGACATTACGCGTGACATTAGCGCTCTAAAATCCAAGCCAATGACAACGCAAACAGGATTTGATCGTGTCGCAATGCCGATACGCAAATCAAGTCTCGAGCAAAAAGTGCGAATTTGGAAAAAGACAACGCTAACGATAAAATTTGGACGTGCTTATTGCAAATAGATTCTTAAATTTTTTTTTTTTTTTTTGCCAAATATTTGAAATTTAAATCGAGACTGCCAGAAGAAAACCGTTTGTCCGCAACGCGACACAGCGAATTGACGTGCCCTGAACTGAATGTCGAGGGCGTACAATGCGTTGCGTAACAAATGGAGGATGAGAGACGTCCCCTTCTCTTCGCCCCTGCAGGGAAACCCCCGGCAGACAGCGTCGACAGTCTCGACTGCGATCTACCGAAATAACGGGGAGAATCCCCGGTAATTGTATGTCTCGGCGGTAGCTCGCGGAGGAGTTACTCGCGACCGGATATCCGCGAAGTTTGTAGGCGTCGCCCTGCGTTTTGGTTAAAGCGCCGCGATACACACCTCCACGAGCGACGCCCGCAACTCTTTGTCAATGTTATGGCGTGGGCCCGGTGCCCCGCGGTTATAAATAATGACAATTGCGCGAAACTTAGCGTCGGAGGTAACGGCCGACCAGCGCGAAGCCGCACGCTGGGGCCATTTCGAACTTGCGGCTTTTACTGCCTCCGGTGCCATGCCGCTCGTTCGTTAGGCATTACGATCGTTTCGGGAGATTCCCGGTTCCGCGTGTGTTGCGCGTGTTCGCCGAATTGCGAGGCACGAAAATCTCGGGAGTCGCGCGCGAGAGATGCGCGGCTCTCAGCGAAACTGTGAAAACATTGACGTTTCTACGGTGCACTGTGCCCTTTGGAAGGCGCTATTCGTAGCAACGATAAGGTGTAATAAATATACACATGTGTGTATACATAAGTATATATATATATATATATATAAATATATAAGAGTAGCAATGCTTACAGTGATACTCACTGGTCTTGGATCGCGGCTCACGCGGCCCGTCAACAGTCACCTTGATCGCCTTCGTATAAGTGGCGACTTGAGGCGGCGTTGTCGACACTGTTATCGTTAAGGTGAAGCTCTTGCCTGCAACAAAAAAACGTGCGACGACACGTGTTACGTGAACAATCAACTCCAAATTACTTTGCTAGTTTAATATATTTGTTACTATCGTTAGACGTGGAATTTTAATTCCAACGCGCCGCGATGCGCGAAATGGGAATCCTGAAGAATTAACTTCCGAAAACGACGCAGACGACGTCAAATACGTCGCGGGCGCGTTTTTAGTCGATTTTCGTCTCGCGACGCGTCGATTCGTGGACGCGCCTATTCAGCCGGCGTCGAAAGTTCGCAAACGCGGTTAGCCGGGCGAAACTCCGTGGTAACCGAATTACATGTCGGTAATGTATCGAGGGCGTCGTCGACGGTGACGGTGGCCAGCCAGCGCGGCCGAGTTACGGGAATAGAGGATGACCGGGGAGGAATGGGCGACGGAAGGAAGAAAGTCGCGCGATGTTAAAAAGTCTCGGTCGCGCGCGAAACAATGTCGCGGAAAAAAGCGGGCCGCCGGAGATAAAACGCGCGTGTAACGGTACACCGCAATTTCATCCCGCGAGTGTTAAGCGCCGAAACGACGAACGCCCGTGACAAACCGCTCGTTATCGATTCGGCATGCGAAAGCGCGCGATAAAACACGCGCGAAAATGCGAGGATTCCGATGCGAAAAGTCGCCGCAACAAAAATTGCGTGATAACGTCGTGCGCGCGCGTGCGCGCGCGCGCAAAGGTTCACCGCAATTTTAACCGTCCCCTTTTTTCATCACCGCGCACAGCCGACCGACACGCCGTTTTCCCTTCTCTATCATGAATTTTTTCACGATGCATTTACACGAGGCCGGGGACGCGTGTTTGCAATCTGCATTGAGCGCGCTATTATTTATTCTACATCACGTCAACGAGAATGTAATGATAATCTTACTAACCCACATATCGCATACTCTCCGCGCGATAGGTGTATCTCGAAACATGTTTTCTTGAAATTAGATACGATAATGCTGCAAAGGCAGCGCGCTTTTATCCGCCGCCAGTTTACAAAATGAAAGATAACACATTACGTTATTTATATCTGCCCCTAAACGTATTCCTTCCGCTAATGCGTTACAACTCTCGCGTTACCCTTTCGACCGACCATTACCGTATTTTTCTATCAGACCCATTAGATACGTTTTCAAACGTGGCGAATATCGCGATAATCGATCGGGCCGGAGTTCACCGTCGACGACTTGGACTCTCTCGGCCGGCGGCGGATAGAGACGGCAAAGTTCGCCGCGGCCGTGACGTAAGATGATCGATGGCGGGAAAAAACGAGTATGGTGGCGGAAGAGTGAGGGCGGGAGAAATAATGGCGAGTGTCGAGCGTGGCCACACGGCGGTTCGCCACGCGAGCTTTTCGTTTTCCAGCGGGGATTCCCCTCGATCCGGCTGCAAGTCACGCCATTCTCGCCCTGCCCTCACCCTGCCAGTCGGTCTTTTCACCTTTGCTGCCACGGAGTCGATGGTTTCTGTTAGGTAGGTACGCGTAGGCACACGGGTATCACCCTCGGTGCCAGTCGCCGTACAGCCATTACAGTTCGCGATCACCCTAGCTTGAAACGCCCTTATGTATCTTTTAAACGCTCGCCTTGTTAACTCTGAACGAGATCGCTTTGTTCTCGAATCGACGTGTCTTGGCTCAAGCAATTGATAGACTTATTTTTTTTTTCAATTTACATGCGATATAACGATATTATTGCACGCTAATTACGCGTGGTGTAACTTTTTAAGCATCTTGAAAAGGTTCGTATTTGCCGTCAAATTTGGGCAAGTGCGACGCGAGAGCAAGCTCATTCTCGACTATTCGCTGATTATGCTCGTTAGCATACGGTCCTCTGCAAGCGTATGTGGTCCGACGCGTGCATACATGTGTCTCGACATTGTACGCTGTCGATGTACTGTCGGGCCAATTAATTAATTTCAATTTTCCCCGAACGAAACACAAATGCGCAATTGTAGCCTGATAACGAATTGATTACGGTCAGGGACTGCCGCCGTCATCGCGAGTGACTGCCGTTTTTCTTTTCGGAATGAAACGAGCCTCGCGTTACGGTCGATAAATTAACATCTCGCGAGTGGACACGTTTCACTGATTTAATAGAAGCAAATTTGTGTGCAAAAACTCGCACGAATCAATTTAAACATTATAAACTTTTCAATGTATTTTTGATGCAGAGATTATTCCTTGCGGATATTTAGAATCTATTCACTAAATTATTAAGTTCTTATCTTAAAAGTTATTTTCTTTATCTCTCCCTCCTTGTGCGCTTTGTATATCACAAGTACGATGATTAATAGGTTTACGAGAAAGTGTGTTGTAGAATTAAAGCAACTTGGTAAGATCGGCGACGTTCCCGTGACGAGGTTTATTCCCGGCGGCAAAGTCGAAGGATACCTCGCCTGCTACGGGTCGGAACTATAAGCGCGCAAATGATCTATCTCGTTAAAGGGCTTAGGGCTGTAGGGGGTGGAAACAATCCAGTACCTTCAGGGTAGACTTTGCAGTGATGGAGCAGGCATTACGGTCGAACGTGCGGGAAGGGGGTTACGGCTTATCATCGATATTGCAAAGCTCTCGACTATCGTGGCAGTACGTTCAATCTTGTCCGGGCTAAAAGCGGTTTTAGGCGAAGACAAAAGCATAGTGTCCGCCTTCTCCGTTTAATGATCTCTCAGAATTATCGCAACAGTTACGCCGAAATAATATCTCCCACTTTCGCAGATCGCACATAAATGCGTGATAACAAGTTTCTCGCACATATTTGAAAATATATGAGACTTTTATAAGATTACAAATGCATTAATTACATGCGCAAGAAATGGAGTGTCTAAAAAGTATTTCTAACCTTTCTTCAAATTGAAAGAACAAAATCCTTCGCGCGAGTACGTGCGAATATTTCCACGCTCGACAAACGAGAAGATCATTAAGAATTCCTGAGAGTTCGGCGCACATCGGTTTCCAGGGAATATTCAAGGAGCCAGGGAACCGTTAGGAATTCTGACGAGAGAGACACTTCTCTTACATTCTTCATCCTAGCTTATGTTAATTCCGCGCTCGGCGAAAACAATTGAGAGCTAATCCCAGACAAATGACTGACGCGTTCCCGTGAACACAGGGGAGAGTTCCCTAGCTGGTTCCTAGCTGGAGAATTTGCGAGTTTCCTGATTCCCGAGCGATTAGCCTTCTCTTACCAATACGATCAAGAGTATGGCAACGATAGTACACTAAATATTACGTTAAGTTTACTCCAGCTGTCTCTCCCCACTGCATATTCCTCGGCTCAACGCTCAATTTCAATGTTAAGGTTAAAAATCAATTCATTTAAAATTAACGACAGATTTGCAATCTCGGTGGTTAAATAAGCCAAGCAAGTTTATCGAAATTATTAGAAGTAGGTCGGATGCACACGCAGCTACTTTAAGTTACGTTAATCCAGGGCACTCTGGCGCGAGTTCAAAAGACGCAGTTAGACGAAATACCGACTCTAATAACATTAATTAAAACTCAACTGAAACCTCAATTAATATCACCCGCCCCTGTGCTTCCCGGCGGCGTCGGCGGCTTCTTCGAACGCGGCGCTCCGTCGCTCTCATCTCGCCCTTTCCTCGAAGCTGGGCGGCAAAGCGAGAGGAGAAGGTCGCACGGTGGCGCGGACAAATAAAAGCCATTACCCACCCCAAGTAGTCTTCTCGGATCCACCCCCGCCCGCGCGAAGAACCAACCGAAGCCGGAGCGAGACGCGACGCGAGACTTTTCCTCCACGAAGGGCCAAGGAAAAACGAGGGTTGTCTCAAGACATCCACGACCTACCCTTACTACGCGACGCACGCCGAATTCTTTGAAGGAGTTTCCACCGTCGCCCCTTCGGTATTTTCTTCCGTCGTAAAAGACGAAGGGCGACACACTCCGAACGAAGATCAAGGAACTTGGGAGTTTTATGAATGAAGAGGAAAGTAGGGCAAGGAAATGTCGCCCGACGCCTCGATTCTCATCGCTCCATGCTTCATTCTGATGTCGAATCGCACGTTCGACTAACGCCATAGTTTTTTTTTTCACAGAGAGTAAATTTTTAGCAGCGACTCACCTCTTCCACTCCTGCCGACGAACCTCAGATCGTTAAACTTGGCGACTTGATTCTTCATCAGAGCGGTTGAATTTCTAAGCTCGGCGCAGCAATTCTCATCATTGCCGGCACGAACAGTCACAAGGGTGCCATCGCCCACTTCGCCAAGAGCTACGACCTTGAAAGCCACCGGAAGAGTCTTGTTGGACCTCCAGTGCGCGGGCAAAACGGTACAAACCAAATGCGGCGATCCTGTAACAAAATTATCCATTCGACTTCATTAGTCGCGAGATGAGTGTCTTGTGTTAAATTTATATTCATCTTTATCTATACAAAAAATACGTATCTTTTAACTACTCTACAAGCAAAATTTATTATAATAAAAAAAAATAATTTACATCTATTTTGCTGTCAATATAATTAACACTTGCTCGAACGCTATTTGTACAAGCAAAATCATTCGCTGAATTACCTGTTCTAACCAGCTCGCCGGGATGCTCGCTGACGAAGTCGCCCAGAGTTCTCTCGGCGAGGATGTCGCTGGTCATTTTGGTGTAGGCGTCGGTCAACGGAGAGACGCCGGACTCCGGCGAGGCGGCCGCGCCAGGAGCCGAGGCTCCTGTCAACTGCATTCTGCCGCTCGCGCTACTGCCGCTCTCACTGGTACCACTGGACGTGCCGCCGCCACCAGCGGACTCGTTGCTGGACGTTCTCACCGAGCCAGTGCCGTTTCCGGCTACCGTGCTTCCGCTGCCGCCGCCGTTGCAACGGCCGAATATATCCATAGGCAGTCAGAACACCGGATGAAACATCCTTCCATTCGGTTCACCCACGCAGCCAGGAGAGTCCCGCGAGCATTCTTCAAGTGCGCATTGCCTCTTAGGTCAGGCTCAACGGCCTGACATCCTTCGCCAGATTTCAGATACTTTGTTAAAATCCCGAGATAAGTGTAACTTATATACGAGATTTTATCAATTTTAATAGCTCTCTTTTCTAGCGTTAGCAATCTGACGAATGTTAGACTCGGCGTAAAGGTTTTCTTCGAATTCTCGAATAGAATGCATCGTCATACCGCGGCAAGGAACTTCTTACTCTTGTGATTTTAGCATTTGTGGTAGCTCAGTGGAGATCATTGTTTTTGCTCGACCTAACATACGCCTTTGTGGAAATTGAATTGTGTGTGTTACATGGACGAAGACAATTTTATTCTTCCGAGATTAAATCTTCTAATTCAGCAGCGCAAACATCTGTAATAAAACAAAACAATCTACTTTCAGTAGGATGAAAAATTGCTGCCACAAATAACGATAATTTCTTACTTTTATATAAATTTTATAAAAATTCATTTCTCTCGCAATTATTCATTTATAACTAATGTATTCTGTCTACAGATATAACGCAGAAAACAATATTGAGAAATGAGACTGTCGAAAAATCAGAAGATCGCTTTGTAAACTAAATTCTCGCTACGCGCTGGCACCCTCGCGGCCGTCGCTGATCAACGGCGCCCGAGCCGTCCTTAATCTGTTTAACGAAATCTTCTACGTGCCGTTATCTCACTAGACTAGAGACCCTTTAACCGAGTTGTCTCCGACCCTCGCGATGACGTGACACCTTCGAGAACGGACGCGAAAAATGAACGGGGGTGGTTGAACGGCGGGCAACGCGCGAAGAGAAACGAAAGGGGGTGAAAACGGTTGACACGAGCAGAAACGACTCGCACACTTTTCACGCGGCTGGCTCGTGACGTCACCGTTCATTCAGTAATTTTTGCGCACGTCACTGGGGCTGACACGCCGGATCCAGGTGGTTCCAGGAGGGGCAGACCGGCACGGTGGTGGGGACGGAAAAAATAGGGGAAAAAGAACGCCCGCCGGTAGGCACCCCCCCACACGAATGCCCAACCCCTACGCACGTACGACCGCGTGTCAAACTGCACGTGGCTACGTTTACCACGTTGCCTCCTGTCAATGACGGTCTCGCGATCCGAAAATCGCGAGTCGGCCCGACATCCAATTCATAATAAGATGAAGAAAGTTATGATCAAGATTCAACACAGACTGTGAAACACACAGTCTATTATGCGACGAACATGCTAATCGATAATCACGACTAATTGTCTTCGTAATCCATCGGTCACTGTATTCGCCCGCACATGAAGAGCTTCGTAGAATAGCATTTGAAATAATTTTGTTATACTAATTGCGTGTAGCACATGTGACAATTAATAAATAATAATTGATTATTTCGATTCGTATGTAGGTGAATATTATTGCGAATTATACAAGCATAATCGCTGTGCGTTCGACATTCTTCCAAAGCCGATACTGAAACGATTGAAATGAATAGCAGAACAATGCAAAATGTTTTGGCGATGGAAAACAGTAACACTATCGTCAGCAACAGTTTTCTTGCGATTCTTTCGTAAGAACGTTCAGCGACGTTGCGACGGCTAAAATCCTCGCTTAACTCCGCATTCAAATCTCTTACAAAACTCGTCCTGTGTACCACCTTCCGGTGGAATTATAATACTGCTCGTGTATCCAATTTCGAAAAACCTTGTAAAAAATCGTACAAGCAGATTGAACACGATGCAATATGATCTGTTTAAGTCTTGCAGGGAGACAATAGAACTAGTAAAATCGAAAAACTTGATAAAAAAAAAACTATTCCAAAGAGATTCGAAGCAACAATTAATTTAAATAAAATAAATTACTATTAAAGATCTTTTAGTGAAACGTTTAATATGTTGAAAAAGTACCTCAGTAAACGATGGCGAAAAACATCTCCAAAAACTCGTTTTCAGCCATTCGAGTAATTACGTTAATTAACAAAGCTACTTCTTTCGGGAATCTTCACGTTCTCGCACGTCTAACTGCCGATTATGCAAGCAATCGCAGTTACCGATCAAATATTACGCGATATCACCTTCGTCGCCGTTTCGACACTAAAACTCTCGCATAATCACGCACTTGGATGTAGCCGAGATGGATGTAAACGAGAACAATGTTCGCCAGCCTCTTCGAGCACTTCACTTGAGCAAGCTATCAATAGCCAGAGATGATATTGTCTCTCGGAATCTCGTCAAGATCTCTCGACCGAGCTCGAAGAATGGTCGAACGACGGTCCCCCCCCTAGGCGATCCCGAAGGGACCCCTTCAGCGGTTCGTTAGCGGCACCCTCGAATCATCTTCAGTCCCCCGCGAGCCGTACGAAAGTGGCAGTTCCGCCTCGGTATAGAGGCAACGGTAGCCGAGAATGTATTTCGGAGTATCCGTTGGGGGTCACTAACTATAATTTCGGCGGTTCGTGTGAGGCAACAGCCGTTGACGCACTGGTCCATGCCAACACACGCAGCATCCCTTTCCCCTTTCCTGGTTCCTCTCTCATACCCCTCTGCCACCCCACTCCTTCCAACCTTCCTTCCCTGTCCTGGGTCTCTCTCTCGCTCCCACCCACGCTCGCTTCCTCTCCCTCTCTCTCATTCCGTCCCTCATTCCGCCTCGCGTAACCTCTTTCTCTCGCGCGCACGCCGCTCTTTATCGCTTTATCTCCCACCGGACCCGACCTCTCCCTCTCGCGACGTCGACTCTTTCTCCCAGCATTCTCGCTCTCTCGCATACTCTCTTTCCCCTCGACCCTTTTGCGGTATGGCTCGCGTGCTGGACATCGGTGGGGAGCCAAGTGCCTTCGATCGATCTATCGAACTCCGATTTGATCGGTTTTTCTCGGCTTGTACGCGCGCGCGTACACACTTTTTTTACTCCTTCGCGTGCGTAACTGCGTTGCAACACCTCGATACTACCTATTAAGCTTCGCGAGTAAAAGTTTTTGCGGAATTAATCACGTCAAGTCCAGTGTTGAATTTGCGTACGTGCGAAACTTCCGGCAACCAATATCATCTGCATCAATATGCAGAAAAGTTTGTAAAAATATTATTTGCGCGATATCAACAACCTGCACACACTCACTTCTGCCGGATTATCTCTCCTCTTTCCAATCGAGATCTGCATTTTTTTCCTCGAAACGCATCGTTGTTTCATATGCATCGGGACGCTCGTACATCGGTATCTCGTACAATGAAGCTTCACTTTCGAAAATCAAACAGAGGTCCCGGCGCATCCTCGCAGTTGCACTGTTTGTACGAATGTGCAAACAATGGAACTACCCATTTCCTGCACGAATATATCCTGACGATATCCAACCGGTCGCGGACCTGCCGGCAGGCAAACACTCCAAGTTCTACAGATATGTACGGACCCACTTGTATAAAATTAACAAATTTTTGGAGATTTTTCTCGCATCAATTTAACGCGCGGTTACGCACGATAAGAGCGACATCTCAATAAATCTCTTTTCCACCAAAAATTTTATATCTTTAAATTTTTATATTATTTTAAAAAAAAGCAATTCCAATTTTTTTCCGTATTTTTCTACCGAGCTTTTCCTATTATACAAATTTGAGTAATGCAGCTGATTAAATTCAAACTGTTATACATGTGTTTAGAGACACAACAATAAAAGAAAAAGAAACCTTTTTTCAAACGTTTTTTTTTTTTTTTATTTCACAAAAAAGAAACAAATTAGTGGAGACGATCAGCGCAATAATCTTTGATTCGTCGCGTGTTTGACATTTAACGATGCAACGCGGTTCGAGAGACGGAACGAAAAGCGCTCGCGCTGCAGAAGTATGCACCGGGTGTATTCAGCGGCGAACGATCGCCGACGAGACGGTGACAAACAGCGATACCGCTGGGAAAACGGTGGAAACTGGATGGCCGCCGTCGTATTGACAACGACCTAACGCCCGTGTGGACCGTTGCGTTCGACGAGATTCGAATTATCTCTGTTGGAGCTTGTCAATGCAAATGCCATACCTACATTCAATTACCGCTCGTCACGCTCCGATCAACTACCGGGCACAGCAAACCAGGTACTCCGCTGTTCCACGAGTACCGTTTCTTTGCCCGCGCGTTCGATTCCGCGGATCTATCGCTCAATAGAAAAATCCGAATTGGCGAAACTCGCGCGAGAATCTATGATAATCGTGCTTTGAATACCACGACGCATTGAATAACAAAGCGAATCATTTTATTAATTCTTTTAGGTATTTTATTAGAACTATTTTATTTAATTTGAAATCTGGCATATATTTGGCTAATTTATAATTATCGCTAGTTTTATCTATTTCATCGAGTTAAGCTCGATTATTCTATAAATTATGCCATGAAAAGATTACCTTTGTAATATGAGAGAACAATTGAATAGAACGGCTCAATAAATTTAGAGAAATTAATACTAAATTTGTGCAATAGTTCATTATTTTATTGACATAGTGGTGTACTGAAAGGATGATCAATTGTTTCGCGATTCTATTCATAGACACATAAGCGTGCCGCAGTAGGATACAACTCATATGTAACGATGCATCGAAGGACGTTAATTAATGAGCCGCCTATCGATATAATCGTTACTGCGAATTACTAACGTCTCGTGTTTGCGAAATAAAATATGAATGTCTCTATTCGCCTGTACATTGTACTGTTTACATCTGTGTACGTAATTTCGCATCGATTGAATGAGAATTTATTACGAGACATAACGTGTAGGTATAATATAATCCTTAGCAGTCTTGCTTTAACATGCTCATTAAATTCCTGTCAATTAGATACAATTGGATAGAAAAATGATCTAAGTAATGTCAGTAGGCACTTACTTAATCTCTTGCGTTTTGAATCGAAAAGCGCACTTTTCTTGTAAATAAATGTGGTCTTGCGGCACAGTGCCACAAGTTACAATCGATCGAAAGAACCATTATTCACTGCAGATCCTGAGTAGTCAATTCCAGTATGACACTCTTCGCTCCTCGATGACTCTCGAGCTCAAACGTCCCACCAACACGTGACAACCCCATCAAAGCTTGATGGGTTTTACAGGAGACCACAATCAATCGATGGTAACACTGCTGGTCCGATCTTCGTATCCAGGCACGAACACGTGGCAGCGAGAACAAGCAATTATCGCGCGGACATTGCAAAGAATTATTACCGACTCGATCGAGCAATCGTATCGTAACGATAATAGAAAGATTATAGTTACGCGCGCGCGCGTTCACTTATTCAACACCATGAAAACAACAATTAGACAAATGAACAATGAATCACTCGGATAACATCCAATCCACCATACGTGACGGAAATACGTCCGAAGGAGCACGCTCTCATAATTGCCGATCTACGATGAACAA